CACGTGTTCTACACAAAGAAAATGAAAGATGTACATTTTTTTTCGTATTTGTTTTCATTGGTCGCAAATGTAGACAGCTTTGAGTTTCTTATATCAGTACCTAAATTTTAAAAACTCTTCAACTCCCAGAAAAACAAAAAATAACAAAACATAATGATATACTTGTGCATATCATCAATAATGCTGACCTGGTAGACTTATCACATTGCCTGTCACGTGATTAACTCAATGAGAATCGAACTCATTAACAGAATCATTGCACTGTGACAGGCAACTACATTGAATCAGTTTCTGGTTAATAGGAATAATTGCATTTTAGAGTTATCTCCCTTATATCATCACCTATTTGGCATTTAAATTGGCGCTACTACGAGAGAATTTTTTCTACAGGTTTCATTTAATTTATAATCTTTGCAAAAACAATAAAAGGTAATTTCTTCACAAGTGGACATTATGAAAATAGATTTTTAATTCAATATTATTGTAAGAAAAGCCAGTTCTTAATTATTTCCCAATTCTCTGCTATTCATTGATTTTTTTTTCCTTGATACAGGAAACAGAGACGTTCTAAGAAGACGACAAACAGTAGCAAATGTACCCACGACTGCCGAATTAAAAAAGATTCTTGAGCCCACGAACTCAAGAGAGGTGAGTTCATAATTTCACCAAAATGGTAACTTTTTGAACATAGTTCTTTGTTTATGTCAATCACCAATAAGTTCTTCCTCTCTGAAGGTACTTTTGTTTATTACTATATTTCATCCAAAATATGGCTCGAGAGACGCTCAATGGAGAGAGTTACAGTCGAAATGGTAATGAGGAATAAGGTGTTCTATATGAATGGGAGAGAAATTGGTAGGAAGTAAAGACTATGAGAATAAAGAGTCTAAATGACAATATAGATCCTTGAATTGAAAAGATCAACAGTAAAGTGGTCAGGGAAGAAGACAGGCGGGAATCTGTTCCACAAAGTAGCAGTTCTTGGAGGAAAGGCTGTCTGGGAGTAATTTGTCTCCTTGCATTTAAAACACGGTGGAAGTTAGGCTGATTCGACTCCGTGAAAGTAGCATGACGTGTCATAGCAGTAAAGGTCAGAACTGGTGGGAGTAAATAGATTGTCCGATCATTTGGCATGGAAATAACGGTAGAGTAGCGACGAGATTGCAACATTGCATCTGTTGGAAAAGTGTTGCAGAGTGGCGAATAAGTCTTCCTCCACATGTGGCTGCGTAAACGATTTTTTACCATTTTTAAGCCTGAGCCGTTCTAGCTTGGATATGACAATAATACTCCATTTTATATTCTAATCTGATTCTTGTAAAAAATAAAGCATGGCAGGAGGCATTGGATGCTTCCTGAAACGATAAAATGAACTAACGGCCGGATAATTTTTTTTTTAATCCGGACAAAAATTATATTATTTAAATTATTTACATGCGGTCTGTTATCACAACATTTCGGTCGTTGTGCCCTTCGACCATCATCAGGTGTATGTCGATCCGAATAAACTACATGGGATTTCAAAAGGAACCCTTTATTTAATCGACCGGGGGTAGATCCACTGCTTCAAATGCCTGATTTTAATTTCTTTCCTCTCATTATCCACGTTACCCGGATCGATATACAGCTGATGAAGGCATAACGGTCGAAGCGTTGTGATAATAACAATAAAGATAAGGACAATAGTCTGTGTGTAAATAATGTAAATAATGATAACTCTTCATCTCAGAAATTTAGACAAAAATATGAGAGTACTGAACATTTGTAGGACAACCGAAAGATTGTTGATTTATTTTGATCTTGGATAATTCATACTTGAGGTAAATTGCGGTATAAAAGCAACGAGCATACGATTTATTTACCACTTGATTATATATCTCAAGATCAAGGAATACGTGTCTCTATAAAAGCCCTGTATCTCTTGATTTTACATGAAACTTGCATTAAATATGTCAAATCGCGATAATTGACTAAACTATATAATATATATATATATATATATATATATATATATATATATATATATATATATATATATATTTAATCGCATAATATTACGATATTGAAACTTATATTATTTCTAAAACAAAACAATTTTAAGAAAAACTTTTACTCATTTTTACAATAAAATTTAAATGAGATAATCGTTGAACGTCTATGAAATTCGGTCGTCTATGTTTTTTTTTATATTAAAAATTCAAACGTTCGAATTCCAAACAATAATTAAATAATAATAAAGAAAATAGTTTATGCCTATTAAATAAATATTTTATATTTAATGACATATGTACATGACTTCAAAACAGTTAAAAAGAAGTAAAAAAAAATAGTCTTTAGTTGAGTTAAAGTCTTTGGGTTCACAGAAAATAGTTTTGTTTAGAAAGGATTTTGATCGTCATCAAAGATTCACTGACCATCCGAGTTGTTATTTTTGGAGATCATTTGTTTGATATCACCGACACATGTTTCTTTCAAGATGCGCTAAAGGCGGGTAGCTATGCAGCCACGTCTTCTCTTGCGTTTGAACAGCTTAAAGGCAGTCGCATCTTGATAAAAAAAAGTTTCAGTTTTCTCTGATTGGCCAAATATTTTAGACGGTAATGTTAAATTTTAACCAATAGACACTTTGATTTAAACGGTATACGTTGTAGTGTGAAATCTTTTTTGGCATGTTTGTAAATATTGTTTGTTATTGGATAAAAAATAAAGTTTGGGCGTGTATGTGAGTATGTAGTGGACTTCACCACATTAACTTAACTTTAGATTAGGAAACAAGACTCACACAAAAAAAGGATAACCAAAAGACATTGTTACACATAAAATATGTATTTAACAAGATGTACAATATCAAACAACGATGTGAAGGAAAGCATGCATTTAAGTAAGAAAAGGTTGAATTAACCAACAGTTGTCTCTCTTTAACTGTTATTTTAGTGTTCAATGAGAAATAGTCATTTAGTTCAAAGTTCACTGGAAGAATGTTCATGAGTCTCTTGTAATGATTGTTCTTGAAAGATATTGCTGTGTAAGAAGAGTTTATGTGAGTGTATACAAGGTATGTTCAGCATGTGAGTGGTGTGTGTGAGTGAGAAAGTTGGCGCATGGTTTCAAATGTCGTGGATTCGTTTGGCAGTTGAATTCTCACTAATTGGGATTAGAAAAATGTTGCTTTAAATAAGCGAATATAGGCTCCAAATCGTTGCGCGGGAAAAATTATTCTTCACGTGCAAACGATCTGATTGGTTGGCATCGACCAATCAGCGATCGAGCTTTGGAGAGACTTAAGAAAGTTTCTGTGAACCGCTTCTCCAAAAAGTTCACAAAATTGACTACATAAAAATAGAGCGATTACAAAATTCTCGCATTACTGCGATTTGTAAATTGCCCATTATAACGTAGTGGTGATTAATTAAACAATGAATGCTTGGCGTTGTATGTGATTTGTATTTTTGTATGTATGTATGTTCGTGCGTAATAGATCCGCACAAGTATCTAATTGTGTTGAAATAGGGTTTATTTCCTATAAGAACTGCACACATTACTTTTCTTTTTTCATAATCTATTTTGCAGATAACCACATAAATCGCCTTTGCTTCTTTCACATAAACTGGCTAATAGTTACTGAAGTTTTTTTTTTTTTCTTAATACAAAGGCCGTTCGGTATCGGGATCATTTTACGAATTTTTCTATAAGAATTAATAGACTGATAACACTAAGAAGTTATAGAAATTAAAACAATTTGATTTGTTTTAAATTTATTGTTATAAACAATTTTACGCTATAAAAATTAAATCAGAACTTGTTGACTATTATTATTTTTATAATTTATTTTTCATTTATTTAAAGTCAAAATTTTGTGACCAACTGGTTTTAATAACAATAACCGTTTGAAAAAAATATTCATGATTAAAATTCTAAAATGTCGTCTATTTTTATTCCTTTGAACAATAAATAATGCTAATACATAACTAATACTAATAACTAATAACTAATACCACTGAAAATCATTACAAAGAAATTTTAAAATAAACTAGCAAAAATACCAACTATTTCTAAAGAAAACTTTACAGAAATATTCAATAACTTTTCGTTTATCCTATATAAATAAATAATAAAGAAAAAAAAAGTTAAAGTATTTATCAGTTTCTTTCTTCTCTTTACTAGCTTTTCCATAGCGCCCATTACGACCGCAATTTAACGCATGATGAATTCACAGATATCCGGCACCATATTCGATTGAAACATCGACGTACCAGCCGAATGCTAGAAGCTCATCACTTCAGTAGCCGGGCTCTCTCTTGGAATGGCGACCGAAATTATCCAGGTCGCTCACCAAGCGAAACAGGTTCTTCTGACCGCATGCGTTACTTCCGTCGACACCGTGGCAGTTCTTTATCCAATAATTCATCCCCGGAACGCGGCTGGTCGGCAGCGACCGATCCGACACCCAATACGAAACATGCATCACCGTTATCGGTAGTCCCAGAGAATCAGAGTATCAATACATCGAGCCAAGGTGGATCAGTGTATCATAATTTCTCTTACGACCATGACATCATAGAGGACAATCGTTCGGTACGCTCAGAGCCACCCATCTTCTCCAAGAATGTCTTCGACAGCATCAAGCCGATACCACCTCTTATCGAGAAAAGTGACAATTCAGAAAGCACTTACGCCATCGACAACTGTACCTTGTCGATGGAGGATGAGACTCAAACTTCTGATTCAAAGTTCACTGATGTAGAGGAACCAGATTCAGAGAAAACAGAAGTAGATGTGGATAATGAAAATAATCCGAAAGACAATAGCACACCACCAGAATAAACATTTTGAAATTGGTGAGCATTTGTGCGAGAGACGCTTATGGGTACGGAGACCAAATTTTGTGAAAAGATCTTTGATATCTGAATTGTGCACTTCTCTGAAAACTGACATCTTATACTCGCCTTATTCTCGACATTAAACAAAAAAAAATAAAACAAAATAAACATTAAGCACATTCACAGATAGATAGATAGATAGATAGATAGATAGATAGATAGATAGATAGATAGATAGATAGATAAAAAAGAAACAGACGCAGATAAACAGATAGATAAGTGCACAATAATACACTTACGATCTACATAAATCATCATTATGAGATCATTTTTACTAAGTTTATTATTACCGCAAAAGAAAACATTAAATGACCAGCCCAGCAAATAGATTTAATAATCTAGCATTAAATTCAATGGCCACTTGACCGGCAAAGACAAACTATTTGTATATAAACATTATTCGACATTCTTCTTGCAACTTCAAAAGTGTCCAAATTCATGAAAAGTTTAGCAGTCAGAAATATAGGTAATTTAGTTTTGCCTATATTCACGGCGTACATACATATAAAGAATCGGGCGAACGCGCACATCTATATAAAGTTTTATATACATAATGTGCGCATTAAAACTGTAAATCACATATATGCTCAAACGAAATCACAGGCATCTCTGTTTATAGTGCTGACTGTAGCTCTTCAGAGGGACCATTAAAACTTGACAGATAAAGACTTTTCACGTCCTAATATAGAATTCAATTCTTTTACAATTCGAATTCCAGACAGCTGTTTTGTTTATATATATATATATATATTAGTATAAAAAAAGAAGAAAAGTAAGAAATGAATCCGGTGTTCTTATTGATATTTTTATTTTTACAAAACAGTGCTCAATGTAAATTTACAGAGTATAAATATTATAAATTAACTGATTTAAAAATATGGTTTCATCGCTACACAGGAATTACTATGTTTCAAAATCAGAAACCAAAAACTTCAAATTCAATTATATTAAATTAAAAGCATTAGTTCTGTTTCAAATTCAAGCGAATTACAAAATTTTGAAACATAGTAATTCCTGTGTAGCGATGAAATCATATTTTTAAATCAGTTAATTCATAATACATATATATATATATATATATATATATATATATTAGATAGATAAATTTATATCGATAGACAAAATCTATCTTATAAACTGTATGAAAAGTGAAAAAAAAATTGTAAAAATTTAGACAATAATTGTAACAATTGTAAAAAGACAATATAAATAAAGACAAAAGGAAAACTTTTCTTAACAATGCGTTTCATCCTCGAATGGACTTTAGCAAATTAATTTTTCAAACTAGAATTTAGATTTTTAAAAATTCAATAACCACATTTACTCATTTTCGTTTATTAGGCATAAAATTACATCACTTAGCATCTTCCATAGTTTACCGTGATTTTCACATCTCGCCTGAAGAATATTTATGAGCGTTCTTAAATTTAAGTTTTGAAAGTCAAACGACATTTTTAAATCTGTTTATAAATACTTGTTTCAAAATAAAATCATTCCATTTTCCTTGAAAGAAGAACAAAACACTGAAAAGCGTCGGTAAGAAAAAGTTTTACTGTTGTCGTTATATATATATATATATATATATATATATATATATATATATATATAAAACAGTAAACCTTTTTCTTACTGACGCTTTTTATATATATATATATATATATATATATATATATCGATATACATAGCTAGAGACAGAGATAGAAAAATATCAAACAAAATCTATATAGAGATAAAAATCTTTCTCCCTCACTCTCAATCTAACTGTGACAGCATTCGAAAAATCTGTCACAGTTAAATTTCTAATTCCGACACGAACTCTGTCTATATACCGGGGTTAAAAAAAAGGACGACGAAGAAGTTTTCGTCAGTTGAAATAGGTCTATACTCCATATTAGGTCATTTTGGACTTGGTAGTTTACTAATATATATATATATATATATATACCAGATGATATATATATATATATATATATATATATATATATATATATATATATATATATATATATATATATATATATACATATACATATACATATACCAGATGATATACATATAGAGACAGAGAGAGGTAAGAGATAGAAAAAGGTCAGACAAAATCTTTATATAGATTAAAATCTGTCTCTGTCTCTCTCTCTCTCTATATATATATATATATATATATATATATATATATATATATATATATATATATATATAAAATAAATTTTAAAAAATATATAATGGATTATATCCGACAAATATTTTCTGTTTATACATTATTGTTATGGATACAACTTATTTGAGTAAATGCTCTGTTTTAATTAAACAGTATTAATTAGATTTACCGGTCCAAATATTTGAGAAATCTGTTAGAAAATATACGTCCTCCGACAGGAATCGAACCTGTATGCCATACGTAACCGTTATTTGGTCTGACGTGCTGTTAACCAATTCAGTTACCGAAGATTTCAGGTTTAGCACAGTTTAAATTACTGCTAATAATATTATACAGGGAAATAGCTTATATATATATATATATATATATATATATATATATATATATATATATATATATATATATATATATATATATAATATATCCTTCCTTCTCTCTCATTCAATCTCTCTCCTCATATAAGATCTCTGTGTTTTATACCACCAAAATCAATTTATTTTCAGAATGAAATGTTGTGTTCTTTCGTTCCTGCTTTCTTTTTGGAAAAGTGTACAGTTCAACTAATTTCACTCAATTTGGATGAGCAATCCTGATTCCTCAAAAATAAAAATTAAATTTTAAAAAAAATAATTTGATCCGCTGTATCGCGTGTATAAAACACAGGAAAAACTTTTACTAAGATTTACAAAATACATTTAAACAAAATTCCTTTACCATTCGTTCTTGAAAGAAAGAATAAACAATGATGCAACTGAAAAGAAATATATTGAAAAGGAAAAATAATATTGTAAAATAAAATAACATTGTTTATAAGAAGAAAAATAAAGGTGAACAGAAATATAATCGGGCGATTTCCTACTACTTTCTACAAACTGCTATTTTCTAACAACACCTGAATGAAAATACGTGTATATTTGTATAAAAATTCAAATCGTCATATCTATCAATGAGTATTTTATACGAAGGGAGATAACTTCTCTTAATAGGGACTACACACAATTTTTTTTGTGTGTGTGTGTGTCCATATTTTTGCTTGATTGTTTTCGTTTTTTGTTTTGTTTTTTCTTCTTTTCTCATTATTTACATTTTTGTATATAGATTTCTTTGTTCTTTTATATGAGTTATCAAACATTTATAAATTTGTTTTAAAATCATGCAACCGCTAAAAAGTATAAAGAGTTGAAAGATTTTAAAAGAAGTGTTTTCATAATTTGGTTTACCTGAACTTTTGCCACCATTCGCCGAGAAAGAACAAGCAAAAAACAGTTAAAACAAAAAAATAAAACAAAAATAAATATTAAATGTTTTTGTAAGCTCAACAAATGCTTTTTGATATTACTTTAAAATAAAAATAAAAATAAATGTGAACTAAAATTTATATTTTACGCTGGAATGCTGAAGAAAGAACCAACCAGCCAAAACGTTGTGTTAAAAATAATTTTTTAGGAGTTTTATATGAATGAATAAAGTAAACTATGAAGCTAATACCTAAAATTTGTTGGTAACAAACAAGTTTACTGAAGCAAGAAACACGATTTTTTTTGTTGTTTAATTATTATGGCTATGGAAAGAGAATTGTTATAACTTCATGGAAACAGATATTACATTAAAAAAAAAAAAGGCATGAGCATTCCTGGCTGGTTATAAAGCTTGTTTTTCATTGAATAGACAGAATAAAGGAGCAGAGGGTGCGAAGGACCGGGGCATCCACATTGGGGGGGGGCATCGGATCAAAGAATGTTATTAGTTATTGAAATTTGAAATAAAATGTCTTCCTTTCTCATATTTCTCAGTACTAGACTCAATAATCCCCCCCCACCTTAAGTCTTGGGGACATACAATCATTTTTTACCAATGCTCATATTGCAATTTTTTGCAATGATAACAGCAAAATTTGCAATATGAGCACTGGTAAAAAAAAGATTGCTGAAGACATTAGGTTTATAATTCCCAGAAATTCATACACAGATATCCTCAAGGACACATGGCACAGTGGATAAAGGCGTTAGCTTCAGTGGCAGGACCCAAAGAGTGTGAGTTCAATAACCTGGTTAAGGCGGTGGAGAAATTGGAGAGGGGAAATAACAGGAGATAACTGATAACTGACATCCATGACACGTGGGACTAGAACAGTCTACCCCGGTGAGCAAAATAAAGGGTTCTGTTCGACATTCCAACCACCTGAAAAAGGCCAGAGAGTACAACGGCCGAAACGTTGTAATAAATAAGTACTTGACGATAAGAGTTTGTAGCAGAGTGGTGCTACTGTAGCGGGTTTTCACCATTATGTAAGGGTGTGTACTACAAACATTTAACTTTGGCTAGAAAAGGCGGGATTAAGGACAATGCGTGGACGCAATGCAATTTATATTTGACGTAAATAGCACATAGTATAAAATACAAAACAGAATGTAATGATTTCAAAACATAACAATTGAATTTATTCGTGTTCGGTGTACAAGCATAAAAGCTGAAGGTGTGATAGAGTTATGTCTTTTAGATTTGGAAATATTTGTACCTGAGCTCATAAAGATGAAGTAATTATTAAACTGTAGTTTAGAAGAATAAAGTTCCTTTAGCATGTTAGGAATTGTAAACCTTGGTAAGAGTTCAGAAGAGATTTTAGAGTTCGTACTTGCGTGAATGTTGGTAATGGTCTTTAACGTCTGACCGCAAAGATTACATCTTGGCAGGAAGGAGAAAGATGAATGAAGTGAAAACACGAGGGAGCTTACACGTGTTTTGTTTATATATGGCTGTGTATCACGTGGGAGGCTCAGAGAATATTGAGCAGGAAAACAGATTTGTCACGTGCAGGCGTTTTGATTGGTCGGAACTGACCAATCAGCGAGCTAGTTTTGAGTAGATTAATCAATGAATGCTTGTCGCATGATTTCTATATGCTGTGCGTATGTAATGGTGGTGAGCAGATTACTATGTAACAAGAAGAGACCTATAACTTTCGACAGAAATGAATTCAAGAAATACGCGAGTTTTCATATACAAGAGCATAACTCCCAAAAGAAGAGGAGGGGAATTATATTTTCGTATATACAACTTATTAAGTTTTTAAGCATTAAGTTT